ACAGAAAAGAATCAATACGTAAACCATTACCAAAGTTAGTATTTAATTTAATGAAAGATGCTATATTAAGAAAAAAATTAAAAGAATTTGGTTTATCATTACAAGGAGATCGAAGGACTATGGAGAATAGATTACAAAGATACATTATTCTTTATAATGCAGAATGTGATAAATCAAATCCACGATCAATTTCAGAATTAGTAAAACAATGTGAAGATGAAGAAAATTTAGAAAAAAAAATTAATAAAACATTTCTAAATGTAAATACTCATTATATTATGTTAATTTAAATTTTCTAAATTATGTTTTGATATTTTAATTAAAATTATTAAATTTCAGAAACTACATTTTACTAGAAATACAGAACAAAATGTTATAGAAAATGAAAGAAAAAAATATTGTAAGTTTAAATTTTTAAGTTTTTTTTATATAATGTATATAATATTTTGATAATTATTTTTTTTTATTAGTGGAAGCACATAAAGATAGTTTTGACAATTTAATTAAAAATATTAAACGTATTGATACTACAAAACGACCATCAGTAAGACGTAGTTTATTGAAGGAAAATATAGAAAGAGAGATTAATGAGGATGTCCCAGATAAATGTCAAACAACAGAAAATTTAGATGATTCAATGATTTATACTGAACAAAATGATTTTAATTCCTTAAAATCTGATGTATATATTGAGGATTCTGATTCAGATTCTACTTGTCCTTTACAAATGTATTCTAGTTCTGAGCCAAACAATTTTTTAATGTAGAATTATCTCCTTCTAATAATACTGTTTTACAAAATAAATCTGAGACAAGTGATCAGAAAAATATTGATCAAGAACAATCAATGTTATCTAATCATTCACCTATAAATAAAACGGAAAAAAATGATAATTCAAATGCATTTAATGATATTTCTACTTATGATCCATTGATACAATCAACAATTTGTGAAAATGTATCAAATAATTCTAAAGGTCTATCTAATACTTCCAAGTATAAGAAGTTACGAAGAAACAAAGAATTATCTTCAAAAAATGAAATAAAACAGATAAATTCTGTTACTTCAAACATAAAAGATCTTGATTCTGATAGAACTCTAGATCAAGAAAAAAGACAAGATGAGAAATCAAAATCTATCTTGCAAGATATTGCATGTGATTTATCAAGTAATGATAGCACTGACAGTAAATTTAATTGTGGTATGTAATAAGATTTTATTAAAAGTTAATCAAATTTTATTCTATATTTTTTATGGATATTATATAATATCTTCTATTGAGTGATCCATATGGTTCAATATAAGCATTCTTGAAATAAAAAAATTATATAATTTCGATTTGACCATAAAAAAATTTGATTTATTATAAAAATCATATATTTTTGAATTAATTATTATTTTAAAATAACCTTACAGGAGAATTACATTCTACTAATTATGGATTTTTAAATAATAGTGTAATCAATTTTTCAAATTTGGAAAAAGAAAATATAAGTTCTTCTCCTGAATGTAATAGAATTCAATTTCTTCAAAAGAGAACACGCGATTTAATACAAACTGATAATAAAATGATGTCAAATATAAAAAAAAAATTAAAAAATCATCTCATAATTATTCTCCTGAGACTAAAGAATCAAATATCGAAGAATCTTTATGTACCTCTAATGATGAAACAATTAAATGTTTACGAAGTAAATCACGATTAAGAAAACGAGAGCGAAATATTACAGAAGATATATCTGTTTTAAGAAAATCTACTAGAAGAAAAATAAAAGATAATAATTCATAAAATTAAACTTTAAATTAAATATTTTGATTTTCTGGTTTTGACTTATTTTGTTTGAAATTTAATTTTGAAATTTTGAAATATAATGATGTAAAAAAATAACTATTTGTATTAATTTATATTTTATATTTGACTTTATTATATATTTTTTATGAAATATTTAATAAATAAGTATATATATTTATTTTACATTAAATATAAAAAAAATAATTATACTTTAATTTTTTTAATATATATACAATTATATATCTACAATTTTATTCTCCTTCTCCTTCTAATAAAATATATTAATAAAATATATTTATTATAAAGAAGAAAAAAATACAAAACTGTTTATCAAAGACACCAAATTTTATTGTAATGTTTTGATCTGAAAAAGATCAACAATGGTAAAATGATGACAAACACAAAATTTTACATTTCACCTTCATGTAGATATTAACAATAATATAAGCTTCATATTGATAATAATAATAATATAAGAAGCTTGATTTACTTAACACTAAAATAGTTGTCTTTGACATTATTTAGGCATAAAATATGTGTCTTTATTCTATATATTGTTTTTTATACACTTTGGTATCATTTATATACTTAATTTTATATACATTTTATTTTTTCTAATTATATTTTCTAATATTTTTTTTCTAATATAGAACTTTAAAAGCTTCTAACATTTTAATGGACTATCACATTTATGAAAAACATTTTATTTTTTTTTAAATATACTTTATTCTTTTTTAAATATACTATTATAATTATAATGATTTATCATATTCTCGTATATTATTTTTGAATAAATATAAGCGGAACATATATTAATAGGAATAAAATCTTTAATGATTTTTTTTTAATTGAGTTGCGCTAATAATTTTTTGATGTTAAATATTTAGTGACAATGTTTCTGAAACTTTTTTTCTTTGCGAAACCAATATATTCTAAAAATTTATATAACCATAAATTTCATTTTTATAAATGTATCTGAAAAAAATTTCTTTATTATTTAATATTACGTTTTTCTAACAATTAAATTATTATTTTGATTAAATTGTTATATCGTATATTGTTTTATTTCCATTTTAAATGATTATATATTATATCTTTCTTTTTATATAAATAATTTATTCTGTTTTATAATCTTTTTAATGTTTACATTTCAAAAATAAATTTATTGTTAAAAATATGTTTCTTGTCTTACTATTTTTTTGATAAAAAATTGTTAGAATTTTTTGTAATATTTTATTCTATTAACTATTGAATAATTGATTGATTTATATAATTACTTTTTATTTTTTATTTGAATGGTTACGCATAAAAAGTTTGAGAACCACTGTTGCATAGTATGGCATCGCGAGGTAGTTACTCAACGTTTATTGTACTCCTAAATATATTAAGCAATTTTTCCTGTGTATAGAGATCCATGATAATTTTAAAGAATATTAAAAAAAAAAAAAGAACATAAAAGTAATATTTTAAATTTCAAAATTTGAAATATCTATTATAAATATCTAAAATATTTGAATATAACCTATTTTCATTTTTTTTTCATTTAATAATAAATCAGTTTTTTGAAATTGAAATTGAAACATAAAGATCGATTTAAAAAGTAAAATTAAATTAGAATCTAATGTGAAAGTAATATTTATAAATTTATTCCTAATGAATTACGCTCTTTTTAAGAACTGATAATTTTAAATTCGTGCTATTATTTTCATTGTTCAATAATTTAGTATCAAACAATGTTTAATAAACATTATTTATAATTAAGAAAAAATAGCGTATAGATAAAAGGTTTTTGATTATTTAAAATTATGAAATTATAGAAAGTAAAGATTTATAATTAATCTAGGTAGTTTATGTGTCTTTTTTTCCGCGCAAAGCGAAAATATTTTACTACATGTGAACATTCTAAAGAATGACGCTAAAATTCAAATAGCCTTAAGTCATTTCTATGACACAGGACTTTAATATAATACGATTATGATTTTATTTCATACAATTTTTCTTTATCGTTTTCTTATAGATAATACACGAATAATTTTGTTTCGAGAAATATTAGTTAACAATATTATTGCAATAAAAGATTTTGCATAATAATTATCACACTTTCTTTCAAACAATACATCATTTTTATTTATATTACACAACATTTAAAATGTTATATTTACAAAAATTATCAAGAACGTGTTATTCGAAAGAAAATGTGATATATTAATTTTATGAGCATATTTGTGATTGCAAGCATATTTCACATTACACTTCGCAAATACGTGCAGTATGTAATATAATCTGCAACGATATGTTCGAAGTATTCGAATTATATCTTGTCTTCTAATTTTAAAAATATAATAATAAAATAAAATTATGTTACAGTTATTTACATAGTGCAGTGATGTGATAAAGAATTTTTTTTATTAATTTTCCTATATGGTATTATATTTTCTATGTTTTTTTGATTAATTCTTTGATTATCAAATTCGATTTATTATTATTATTTTTTTTTGTTTTATTGCTTTCATTAAAATTTTGAAAAATTTTAATCACTTTTGTTTTATTAGACATTATATGTAAATATGTAGACATTGATTGAAGAAATTTTATATACAATTAAAGGAATATTTTGTTATTAATTGGAATACTTATTTATAGAATTTTATTTTATTAACACATTTATTTGTTTTTTTTTTTTTTTTTTTTCTTAAAAAGATTATCACGATGAATCACATTGTAAACACTTTTCTTGAAATTCAAGAAAGTTTTCATTCAATTACAGCGGACAATCGTTGGATTGTCAAGAAGCAATTTATGTCGTGTTGACGAATTTGTTAACTTTTAATGGATGTAGGATTCGAAACCGTGCATTTTAATCTTTTCAGTGAAATTTTAATTATCATACTAAATTTTTAAATCACAAGACTTTCGAATTTCAATTTTACTCATTTAAAAATTTATATTTAAAGGCTTTCCCCTAACGAATTTTAAAAACATATATTTATTTTGCCTAGGAAATTGATAGCAACAAGAATTTCTCATTATAAATTTAATTCAGTCTAATTTCTACAATCAAATTTCAACATAGATATTCTTCATGATATTAAAATACCTTTGATTAAAATTTAAAATATTTGTAAATAGTATCTTTGAGATATTCATACAAGTTAGATATAATATAAACTTTTTACAATTATACATTGAATGTTTTATGGTTTCAAATCCTCTAAAAGATAGAGAGGTTTGCTCAGAGGGAAAATTTATAAAAATATTAATGTTTTTACAACCGATAATATATCTATGTATACTCAAATATGAGATTTATAATTTTTAAGAAATTACGTAAAAATAAAGAGCATCATATTTCCGCATTTATTGAATAAATATCTATATGGCAAACAACTATCATTCATATATACCTTCGCCATTTTCTATTTTTTAAAGCAGTCTTATTACTTTACTTCAAACGAACTCTAAAAAAGCTCGTTTCAATAAACCGCAATTGGATATTTTTATCTTATCTACATCAATAATGTAATTTTTGAAATATACAATAATTAAATTTAAGTATTAGATGGAGTGTTATAACGAATGCAATTACATTGATTAATTATGCGCTAATCGCATGAATTGCATTCTTTTTGAAAAAGTAATCATGTCTAAGGCTTCGATTCTCGTATATTATATTTACAATTGTATTCACAGCAGCAACATTTATATATGTATATTGCACTCGATCAACATATCGATTCCATTTATAAATAGTTAACGCATAAATTGTCTTTTAATAAGCTAATAAAATTCATATTGAAAACGAAGAACGAAGAATTGACCTATATCGTAACATTTCGTTCGTAAATTGGATGTTAGTTTTGAAGAAACATGATATCGTGATGGACGTGAAAGTTTTTTTTTTTCATTTTTGTTCAATAATCAAGTTCTTCAATTAACCTGATTAACGTCACGTTACGTTTTCTCGTTTGCTTCGTCTCATCACTGTAATACCTATTGAACCTCTTATTTTTCGTAACAGATCTATTATATCAGCTGTCGTCATGTGCTCAACACTTTCATCATTTACCTGAAACAAAAATAATAAATAATGATATTTTAAGAATATTTTAAGAACAGTTTTTTATTAAAAATTTTTAACCATGTTATTTTCTTTTTTTTATTCTAATTTAATTGAAGTAATTTCGAAATTACATTTTATAAAAATATTTCATAAAAAATAATAAGAACAAAACACTCTATGATCTCTGTGTGTGCGTATTCTTACATTTGAAAGAAGAAAAATTAAAATAGGAAAAGAAATGACAATTAGGAATGGAATTACCATCATAAGCACATCTCCTTGTTTTAGTCTTCCATCCTTAGCTGCAACACTATCAGGATGTACCACCGATATAACTGTACGGTTTCCTTCGGGTTGTAAGCTGAATCCCAATCGACTATTCCAACCACGTGTCAGCTCTACCATGAACACCTTTTATAATAATAATTTATTAAGTTTTTCCAACTTTTGTTACAAATAGAAATTTATTAATTCGAATGTTTATCATTTGAAAAATTTCACAAATTCTTCAATCTTTTCTTTATACATTAAAGAGTAATAGTAATTTTAATTTTTTTTCTATTAATAATAACATTCTCAAATCAAAGCGTTTTTATCATTCGTATTTTATTTAATTATTTTTCTTGAATTCCTTATTTATCCAACAATTGCTTTTCAAATGATATTCAAATGATTGGAATTAGGAATTAAACTATAATTCGTTAAACGAAAATCTCACCTCGATTCCTTGTTCAAGATTTTTATTAAGGGCAGCTGAATCTGTGGTGTCTTTCCCGGTCTTCTCCTCTCCATTTTTAGTTTTATCTATTCCATCATCTGGGGCGAACATCACGCCTTTCCACTTCAACAAACCCTTGCTACCACCCGGATCTTCTACTCCTAAGATTTTCCCTGTGCGGTACATAAAATTAAATCACAATGTATGATATAAAGTTTGTATCAGGCAGTTCATTTTCAGTATCGGTTATGATTGCGCAAACTATTATTTAATTATTTTAGTTATGAATATGAAATTAATCGATCGTTATTCTATTTATCTATTTTTTTTACAGAATTTTTATCTCGACAATTGTGAAAAATAATATATGAAAAAAATATGTAAATATATTCGCGGCAACAATTCACAATACAAATAAATAAAGACAAATTATATAACAGAGACGTATAGTTTTTACGTTAATTATAATATACGATATAATTTCACGCCAGTTTTTATCACGAGTAGAATTATAACGTATGTATTAAGAGTTATTGATTATTTTTATATACGATAAAAAAGATTAGATAATAAGATTTATTTTATTGCGATATATTTTGAGATCGAATAAAGGTATTATATATTATTTAATGAACTGGTCGTGTACAAGAAACTTAACTGACTGTTGTGCGCAAAATCAAGGTGACAACTCGATATGCATAATGGTAACAAGATATACACGTTCGCACGCTACAAAAAGATAAGATAACGAAATGTTACTCGTTTCACGTTGATATATTTTTTTTTTTTTCGTTTAAAGTAGCGTGATTTACTTTCTTCTTCATTCTTATAATATCAAATTCGATATTCTTAAATATTAAATTTAATCAAGTTATCGTTATTTGGTGAATGTTTCGGAATAAATTCGTAGAAGTATAATTAAAAATATAGTAAGAAAAAATTAATACGTGCGCGAGTTATACCTATTGAAAAATTTATATCGATATTTAAATAACAGACAATTTTTCATTTAACTAGCAGAATTATCCAAAAATTTAAATGGATTATTATATTAATTTGAAGATTATGAAGAAAGACTACTTGCTCTCATCAGAAAATATTCATCCCTCGCCAATCTCGTCTTAATTTAAACTTAACGTACATTTCGAACGAAAATCAATCCAATATCCCAGAAATCAATATCACTGACTCCCCATTCCAAATCGAATCAATTCTATTCCCTAATCCTTTTAACCCGAAACAAATTCCCCTTAACAAACCGAAGCGTAACAACTTTTCTTCCAGCCAACTCTAACGAAATTAAACCCCCCTCCTCCCGAAAAAACAAAATACCACCACGATAATGCCTCGTATCCCAACCGAAATTTCGCCTTGCGCATTATTCCTCTTGCATCGAAGCAATTCCCCATACAGACTCTGTCTCCGCAATTTCAATAATCCCCTATGACCACGGGTCCCCTGAGTGGTCAGGATTCAAGGCATCAACGTTCGCGCCACTAAAAGTGAAACCACTAGAAATTCGCCGAAGTAGTGAAATATCGATGAACCTGGTATGTCCTGGTCGCTCGAGTGGGTGGCCTTGTTTTTCGTCACGGCTGCGTCTATGCCGGCGCCGCAGGCTGGATTGGCGCTTTGATAAGCGGGATTCTTGTAACTGAACGCGGCGTTGCTCGAGCTGCTCGTCGAGGAGAGGAGCGGCGGCATCGAGGCCGGCTCCGAGGGTAGATCGTTGTCGTGCTCGTTGCTGGACAACACGGACGAGGGCTCGATCCTCTCGTAATCGCCGTCCGACGCGGTGCTGGTGCGTAGCTCGTCCTCGATGATGATCGCGTCACCGACACCGGGATAATCGAGATCGGAGTCCAGGTTGCAGAACTGAAAGTGAGGCTTCCCCTGGGGCGCGGACAAGTCGAGGAAGCTCGGCCGTGCCGGTGTCTTGGAGGAATCGCTCGAGTCACAGACGTCGTACAGGGGTGGCGGATCGATTATGTCAGTTCCAGGTGTATTTGGCTGGGAATTCGTTATCTGAGTCCTGATCGAGCACTGGTCGGAATCGGATGTCTCCGCCTGGCTGGCCGTCGATGTCGTGTGCACGCTCGGATGCTTCTCCACAGTTTCTGCAACGATGGATATCGTCTCTCTTAGACCATGTTTTTTCAGTTATTGGATGGAGTCGATCAGATGGACCGACCTCTCTTTTCTCTATTTTTTCCTTTTTTTTTTTTATGCTGATGAACACCGCCTTTGCACAAGGTATATTTAGCTTTCGTTTATTCGAAGCGGGACGAGCTTTGACATGGCTTTTAGTTTTACCGGATTGAGATTATTTTACGATGAATTTTTGCCCCGGAGAGACGTGCACCATTCGATACTTGAAAAAGAGTTTTAATAATAATCTTCGTTCAACGAAAGGAAACAAAGTATGAGAGACGATTAAAAAACTCGAATATTTTAATTGATGATAAGAATTTTCGTTAACAATAATTTCGTTCGTCCCATCCTTTCCTCCAAAAATAACGTATTACCTTGATCATGATCGGCAGTAGGAGTGCGCGTAGCGAGACGACGTAGCCTTCTCGGAGAGTTGCAAGATGTTCCGGACGATTGTTTGCAACTAGACCCGCTCGATGTACCCGGTGACAATTTTCGAACCGCCAGATCGCACAGCATGTCTACGGCCTCTTGTCTGCAAATCGTTCACCAATCTTATTTATCAACAATTTTAACGAGATGAAGATTCACGAGTAGAAAGAATTTATCAAGAATTTCGAAAAATCAATTTGTCGAAAATTCTTCGAAATTGTTCGAAGAAAGAGCGAGGCAAGAATCGAATTGACGAGACAAATTTCCTCCTCCCAACGAAGGTTCAAGTAAGTTAAGTGTATACCTCAAACTGGTACGTGGTGGACGGAGTGGGTGATCGGGCTCGGTCGGTGAAAGAGCGGAGACAGGGGTTTGCGCGAGATCCCTGTACAGTCGTAATCTCACGGTCGGGCCACATTGTCGCAGCAGTTGGACAGCCTCTTCGTGGCTCATGGGCGACAACGGTGCACCGTCCACGGCCACTATCTTGTCCCCGGGCCGGATTCGTCCGTCGCTCAACGCCGGCTCGCGCACCAACGCCCTCACGTAATGGCCAAGCGCGCTGCTATCCGCCTTCCTCAGAGTGAAACCCAGACTGCCACCGACCTTTGTCATTTCTATGTCGAATTCCTGGCAGGGAGAGGGTTTAACGAAAGAGAGTTTAGTTCGTTTAATCCCCCCTTCTGTGGCGAATCGTTCGGGATTAGCGCTTCCCTCGTGCGGAAATGAAAGAGCAAGGTATGGAAATTCGGAAATGAGAATTTTGTTGAAACTTTCCCGACAAGGATTTCCTTATTTTCCAATATTTGGAAAAGAAACGAAATTAAAATTGCGCGTTTAAAATACAATTGGACGCGTGCATATTTTTGCGCGTGCTTGGTTGAAATGGAAAATTATTAAATTTGGATTTGGGAAATTAAAGGAAAAATGGTATATTTTACATTATTATGATTAAATACGTGTAACGAGAAAAAAAGTTATATATAAATTGCTTCGTAATACGATTTTTCGTCCGATTCATATTCGTTCGTGTGTTCGATGTAGGAACACGAGGGATTTATTATAAATGCATCGGAAAACCGTGTATACCCCTCGGAAATACCTCGAAATCTAAATTGTAAACGAACTTTGATCGAATTTCGTATTCCTCTTAGGGAGAGAGGGGAAGTTTCTAGTAACAGATAGCATATTCGTTTTGTTCATTTTGTACGACATGGATGACAGGAATGAACAGAGAATTTTTCGCTAATCGTCGAATACGTTTGAAACATTGGAAAGAGGCACGAGAAGAAAGAGGGAGAATCTTGCAAAAGGGAGAATAAATTGAATTATGTTGTTATTATTCTCGTTTGATAATAATAACGGCGGTGATATTTTAACGATATAAGATATCGCGCATCGATTTCAATCTCTCGTTTTAAAAGGAGTGGAAAATTGTGGTGCATGATTCACTGGTGCAGGAAATTCGGCTATCTAGGATTTCCTGATAAAAGTTACTTACGCCGCAGGGTTCGATTTGAAGGGGTGGCAGAGGATTGAGTATTCGCAATGGTGGTGGTGGTTCACGCCTTGCTGGGGGTGGCGGTGGTGCACCCGGTGGTGTGACGCTCATATCACCCGGAAGTCGGGACACCACTAACTCGACAGTGCTGGGCGTCGTTCGTAGAACTTCGAGGGCCTCCTGCAACAAGTTGCAGATAAAATTAACAATTTTCTCCTATCTCCGCCCAGATTCATAACCACAACATGAAAAAGATATTTATATTTATATAACTTCGCTACGATAATAAATTATCAAAATTTAATAATAATCTTTCAACAACAATTTCTTTTCTTAATTTCTCTCTCTTTTTTTTACTTTTAGACGAAAAGATGAAAATTACGTAATTTTAATACCATCTTTTTTTAAACGCCTCACGTTTCCTAGAAACGTGATACATTCAAACATACAATATAATACCTAAGAATTCTCTGTTTTTTAGTAGCGTATAGAATATGATGAGCTTTGCACGTGGCACGGCCCATCCCACTTATGCTCACCGCTTAACGCGATGAGCTGGCTGCGACAAAATAGCGATTACTATAGCTTTAGATGGGAGCCACGGGTTTGTCTTCTCGTAGCTCTTACGAGATTTGCATTTGATTAGCATAATGCAGCTACGTCCGGAGTAAAGATCGAGTTGCCTATCTTACGCGCAGTTGCTCCCCCGAGATGCGATATCAGTTTAATATTGCGGCCCTCGGACGCGTGAGATAACCCATTAATTATTAACCTCGAAATCTTATGCACGAACTTGTGTTCGACAATTTAATAATTCGATTCGAAATGGAATGCACGATATGAGGACGAATATGAGTTTCGACACCACGCCATTGTTCGACAACTTTTTTTAATTTAATTGATTTAGGAAAAATTCAAAAAAAGTAGAGAAATTCGTTAACGCTGTATATATGGTGATTTGCTTACGTAGTTGGTGAGACCGGTTAAAGGAATCCCATTGGCAGCCAAAAGTATATCGCCAGGTTGAAGTTTGTTGGATAAGGCTGCAGGTTGTTGAGGAAACAGTCTTTTTACCCTAACAGGGCCGGCAGTCCCACCGCCGGAAACGCTTAAGCCAAGTCCTCGGCTGCTTTTCTGCAATGTCACTCGGAACGTGCTCTCTGAAAATCATACAAAGTGCCGTTTAATTCCAAAGCAACTGCTTCAAACTGCTTTTTTTCTTCTTTTTTAAAATGTCCGAGGAGAAAATCTGCTTCGAATTAACGACCAGGATTATAACGAAGTTATAATTGCTGTCTTTCGAACGGATGGATGTATCCTTAGATTTGAATGAAATACAGTTTATGCATTTCATCGTAGTCTAAAATAAAGTAAATTTCTAACCTGAACAAATATCGCGATTAATTTAAATTCAATTTTGTTAATTATTCCAAAATTTTTAAACGAATGATTTAAATAATAATAATTTTTGGTTAATTACCGATTTAAACACCGTCCTCAATATTCACGTATAATCAAATTTAATCAAAATATATTTATCAATACGCTTAAATACCTTCGATATTCTTCTTAAACGGAGAGGACATATGTCAATTTTTGAACGATTTCACCTGGAACAAATTCACGAAAAACACGGATCGAACGTTTCGTTTCGCGCTACACCATACTTCGACCAGTTTATTTCCATCGAATGGGTACAAAGAGAGCAAACGAAAAAGCGAATGAATCGTTCGTTTACACTGCAAAGACAGAGCATGCCGTTCCGTAAATATTTATATCGCGAACAAGAGGAAGGAGCACACCGGTTCTTTTTTACCTGTGCCCGGTCTACATTCCCCAAAATTGTAGTCCGTTTGTAATTTACGATCCTCTAGCCTCTCTGACGCATGACCTAATATTTGGAATTGGCCTGGAACTCGAACAATTATTTTCCATCTCTCTCGTCCGTGCAATCTCGCTTCTATGCACCGAGCCTTGAATATTTCACTTGTTATAACGACTTTTACGAAGGCCCGATTGGTCATAATTTCCACCATGAAATATGAAAATTTTGAAATCCATTTGAAATTTTTCAAGTATCTAGAAAGAAGCAATGATTATTTTACATCTTTCTGATGTAAATTTTCTCGTCGAGGAAAATTTTAGGTTCGGGATAGAGATTTATAATTTTTTTAAAGAAAGATTTTAAAATTTATAAGAATTTGGGGCTAAAGAAAAAAAAAATGGAGATATTATATAAAGATACGAATGTGATACGCAAATATTTTTGCAAACGTTGTTTTTGAACTTGTGTAAATATATCTGGTATTGAGTATTGAAAAAAGTGTATCTTCGAAAAAGATTGTATTCGTCAAATATATATACCGTATATCATGAAATAGCTCGCTTCAATTTTTCCTATATATAGAAGTTTTTGTTAACAGAGATCTATGTAACGCATACATTCTAATAGATTTTTATTTACCTACCACGCCTCTCTTTTTTTTCCCCTCTAGAACAGAACAGGAAACAAAAATCAAACTGAGTAAACTTGAAAAACACAATGACAAATATGATGATACGACATTTTTAACAAAACAATTTTATTCGATTCCCAAATAAAAATATCTATATATCATCATCAAAATAAATACGTTTTCCATCTTCGATCCGCAAACCCAACCGATACCGATAATTATCGTCTCATGAACATCCATCATCTTTTACTTTCGTGAAAGACAGATCGATAAAATTGATCGCGGCTTTCAACCGCTTTCGATCTCTCTTTTTCCTCCTTTTTTCCTTTTTTTTTTTTTTTCCGACCATAAACTTAGCACCAGTTCGAAATGACTCGCCTTTTACCGGATATTGACCCGATCCGGACGACATATCGCGCGTATTGTTCACTTTGTTCCCCATTCAGATCGGTTCCCCTCTCAACGGGTAATTTACGTTTGTCACGTTTATTGTCCGGGATCGCGCAGTGACGATCCCCCACCGAAAGAGCATCGGCCATTGTTCGCCCATCGTTTCGAAATCGTGGATATCCCGAACGACTGATCATCCTCTCGAAACGTTTCACAGCGGCCAAGTTTAAGAAATCGATATCCGAACGATTTACGGCTCGCCATCTGTCATTATCGCCGGTTACGGAGGGGAGAGGGGAGTGAGAGAAAATTCGAATGCGGAACATTTGGACCGGTTTAATCGCGTGTTCGTGGAAAGGAAAGGAAAAAAAAGGTAAAAATTAGAATTGGTCTCGGGTTCTCGAGCTTGCAGAAATTGGAATTGTATTGAAATAGGAAGAGGGTAGAATCGGAGAGAATGGGAAAAGTAAAGGTATTTCACGGTGATAAAAGTTTATTAAACGACGTTTGTGTATCGTTTCCTTTTTAAATATACGCAATCGTGATGAACGAATGAAAAGCCTTTTTAATCAATAAAATTATAACTCAATGATCCTCGTTATTACGATATTTTACATTTGTGTTTAAACGATGGTAAAGAAAGTGGTGATATAACGATTCGATTGATTCGACGTTATTTTAATAAAAAAAAAAAAAAAAAGGAACGAAGGAGATTTGTACGTATCGATAACGATAGCGACGAAGCTTTTTGAAGAAGCGAGTGCAAACAAATTTTTTTTGATTTCCCTCTGTCGCGGATAACACGTTAAATGAAAACGTGGGAAAATTGTGTTCGATAATATGTGCATCGTCGTTCGAAAATTTAACAGATTTGCGGGAATTTAATCGGGTGGGAAATCCTCAAGCGTGAAGAATCCGCACGTAACGTCAAATTGCGTTTTATTCCGGTGAACTATCTCATTTTAATACCACGGATTTTCGTAGTTTCAGAATTTCGGCCGAAAACGTTCGTTTTATCGCCGGCTAGATTGTTTGGAAGTAATGGAGTGGATGGTTTTGTCGGCGTTTGATAAACGCCTCGTAAAATTCAACCGTGGTATCCCGCACGTTGCATCGTTATTGCTACTAATATCATTGCTAATATCGTTTAAATAGAAACTTGGCTGCTTGATAACGTAGCGTGGGCTGGACAATCGTGATCATTCGTTGAATCGCGCTACATGATTTTATTCGAAATTAATTTTTTTTTTTTTTGGATTATGAAATTTTATTCTTTAAAAAAGAAGAAAACGAATTTGTAATTTATACTCAAGTAATTGATAATCGGTTGTTTCATATCGTAAAAAACACGATCGTGACTCGTGTTAAGAAATTTGTCAGGTAGAATGAAAAACATCCAATGTTCGTCCACGCTTAAAGGAACAACGTGTAATATTAATGGAATGGAAACGGACGAAGAAGAGAACGCGTAAGTCCAGTTCAAGAAGATTAATGTTCTTTTTTTTCCTTTTCACTTTTGAATTTATTATTCGCGGTAACTTAACTCCCCTAATGAATTTCCTGTTGGAGAATTTTTTTAAACTTTATTAGAAGAAAAATTTTAAATAAGAATGCTCGAAGATATATAATTTTAAGACGATCGATCTCAAATTACATCGATATTATATGCAAAATAATAGATATTGCTTAAAAATATTAATTTGCATTTTATTTTGCAATTTTATACTTTGAAAAAAAAGAAAAAAGAATTTTATAGGTAACTTAGGCATGAAACATTGTATTATACCGAACTATATACGTTATCAGAATTTCATATCTGCGAAATTAATAATATCGCATCTTTTGCATCAACGGTAATTACCCCAATTATTTAATAATAATTTTATACTTAAATTGGGCATGGTGAGCATGTGTGCGTTATCGAATACGTTTAATTTGCATATTTGCAAAACCATTTAACGTTCAAAACAAAAACAATTTAGCGAAAGATTCAAAGGTTTAAAATTTTTTCTTCACGATCATTAATTATTATTTATTTTATTCTTTTGAAAAATTATAATTAATGGCCATGACTTATGCCACAAAATATTTTCTTATATATCTACTTTACAATTTTGATAATAAGAAAAAAAAAAAAACTTACCGATACGTGAAATAGCGTGAACATACCGTGTAATAAAAATACACAAATGGACTGAATGTAACGCAATCTATATATGCATGCAATTGCCAAATTGCTAATTCCAGCAAGCTCTCGAAATTCTGGTAAAGAGTGAGTACTAATTTAAGCAATCCTATCTGCAGTTAAAGAGAAATCCAAGGCTCAACCGTTAAATAGAAAAACCCAGAGCCAAAAACGAATAGCATAAAGTATCCGGTCAAAATTTATGATCCATGAGTTTGAGAGGTATGGTTGAACTCGTATTAATTTAATTTTTTATTCACCTTTGATGAGAGGAATCAAAGAGTATCCGTTTTTCAATCCCATTCATTTTCTCTTTGTTTGTCAATCGATCAATTTTAATTAGACGATTATATTAATTACCCCTTTTAATCGTTTGCTAATTTTATTTCGCGCAATATTTTTTTTTTTCCCCCCGATTTCGTTTCAGAGTTATTCATTAATTCACGGATATTATTTTTATTATTCGTTTATTAATATTTATATCACTATTGCTCGTTTAATCACAGTTTTATTGTACTTTGAATGCACTTGGCTAAAAGCGAGGAAATTCATTAATATGTATAATGTTATATACAACGAAAATATTCGCTCTCTGAAGTATTTATTTGAGACTCGTGTGCATAAATGTATTTCATTACATGAAAAATCAAATTTTCCCACGTTAATGAATATAACATTTTAATAAAAAAAAAAAATGATGCGCGCATTTAATATGGCGGGCGATGTTTTCCGTGATATTTATTAATTCATATTTTACCCGAAAATATATCTTCTACCCATAATGATATGTTAATATTTCATTGTTAAAAAGAAAAAGTTATTAAAATAATACTAAATCTTATTCAAAACTTTTTATGTCCATTTTTATACAAGTTTCCTTATTGCAGTGAAATTTTTTTCAAGATTTATTTAAATCCTTCATCTTTTTTCTTCTTCTTTTTTTTTTTAAATATAGCTTTCTTGCATATTTAATAATCATTTTAACTGTTTTACAATGAAGTCCACTTGATACTTCCCACGGCGGCTTAGATAAGATTTAACAGAAAATTCTCTCCTCTTTTTTTTTTCTTGTGACCCATATTTCCGCATATCGATTTATTCTACTAACTCATTCTTTCTTATCAAATCA